GTTCTGCCCACGGGGACCTGCGGCCACGCCCACCGGGAACGGGCTGCCTCCTCCCCTCTGCGAGGCCTGAGGACCCCCCACGCCACAGCTTCGGGATGGGCCTGAGCCCGGATGCGGGGAGGAAGGGCCCGCTCTGTCCCTCTAGGTTCCCCAGGTTCGGGCCCAAACCGACCTCAAGAACAGCAGGTAGGGAGGGGCCAGGTGACGCCAACCCGCTCCTGACATTCGGCTGGGCGCCAGTCGGTGCCGGGAATGGCCCCTCCCCATGGAGCCGCCACGCTGGGGGTCGCCCCAGAAAAGTCACCGTGGTTGTGTTTGAGTCCTTCTTGTAGACGTTTGTTGTTTGTGTGAAATGCCTGTTACCCGGAACGAGCGGATACTTGGGAATGATCGCTTATTATTAACTTCAGTGGAGCAGGCGGCCAGCGCCCAGCGGGGGGACAGAGCGGGCAGCTCCCCGCACGACCTCCGCAGACGCTTCTGTGCTCAGGTCTAGCCTGAGGTTTCTTTTCTTTTTTTCTTTAATATATATATTTTTTTATTTTAAAGAGGAAGAGAGAGAGAGAAACATCAGTGATGAGAGAGAATCATTGATCGGCTGCCTCCTGAACGTTTGACGGAGCCCACACAACCCAGGCAGGCGCCCCTGACCGGAATAGAACCTGGGACCCTTGGGTCCACAGGCTGATGCTCTATGCACTGAGCCACACCGGCCAGGGCAGCCCCGAGGTGTCTGCAATCTGGAATCGAGGCACCTGTCTTCCTCCTCTCCCAGATCCCGGCCCCTGGAATTCCCAAGTCTCTCCCTCCCAGAGGAACTGAGCCCTCTCCGGCGTCCAGTCCTACAAACCCCTTTGTTCACCCAAAAATCGACCCCAGGCTAACGGGCCTGCCAGGGTCTAGACCTAGACCAGAGCTTGGAGCCCACCTTTCCAGGCGGTCATTTGAGCCCTTGTTTCATAGATTTAACCTCCCGGGAATGCAAGTGTGTTTAAATCGCTATTTTTTTTTTCTTGAAATAGAAGAATCCGTGGGATTTCAAGTGCTGGTCCAGCTCTCGCCCAAGCAGGGCCCGTTGGAGCCGGGGTAAGTTCTCTGCTTGGAAGGCCTGGGTCCGAGTGGAGAGCCTTTTGAAGAACGGTTCTTGCTGATAGTTTTGTAAAAGCAAATCTTGGGGTGATTTCTGTGCAAACCAGCCTGCCACTAAGCAGTCAGCAGAAGGCAGGGGCGTCCTCGCCACAGGAGGGCTTTCTCGCAGCGATTCCCGCCCACAAGGCCTTCCTTCTCCAGAACCTGGGGACGGGATTGCTGTGAAGGACCCTCCCCACACTGCCAGTTGGTAACCAGTGCAGGATGCAACCAGTTCCCTCAGTTCCCTTTCATTGAAATCAGGGTTTGCTTCTTTTTTTAAATCCCAAGGGGCTGAGAGCTTCCAGACCCGCATTAAATATGACAGCCTCCCCCTACCCCCTTCACTACACTTTAGAGAAGAGTTAAAGCTGCGGAAAGGTCAACAAAATGCCTTTTGGGCCCTGTTTGGGGGCAGCATCCGGGAGGCGGTGTGGAGACCTGAAGTGTGGGGGTTGGGTGTGGGGGTTCAGTCCTCGACGGGTCTCCCAACCATGGCCAGGGGTCATCCTCTCGGGGTCCCTGGGGGAGCCCCTCCCGGGAATGGCTTGCTGCTCAGCTTCACCTTCCAGGTCCTGCCTCCAGAGCCCTGGGCACAGCCCAGCAGGATTCAGTGATTGTGGAAAAAGTGCAATAAAATGTGAAATGTGGGCTCTGCAAAAAAAAAAGAAAAAAAAATGCCTTTTGGGGCTGGTAATGTGCCGGATGCGTACATCACTTGTGGTCACAGTGTTGGGGCTCAACAAGATTTCTCAGGAACATGGAGCTAATTGTCGGAGGCAGCAGCTCAGGGCGTCCAGGGGCCGGCCTCTGGCAGTAGGACCCCGGGTGACCGGGAGGGAGCAGAGGCCTCTTGCATTTCATTATAAGCCACTGTGTACTGTTACCATTTTTTAAATTTTTTTAATTGATTTCAGGGAGGAAGGGAGAGGGAGAGAGAGAGAGAAGCATCAATGATGAGAGAGAATCATTGAGCGGCTGCCTCCTGCGCGCCCTACACTGGGGATCGAACCCGCAACCCGGGCATGTGCGCTTGACCGGAATCGAACCCGGGACCCTTCCGTCTGCAGGCCGATGCTCTATCCACTGAGCCACACCGGCTAGGGTCTGTTGCCATTTTTTGACAAAACGATATGCAAGTGTCACTTTGATAAACGTTCAAAAAATATTATTAGCAAATACAAACATTCTGAAAGCTACTCGCTGTTGTCATTAGCATTTAGAACAATTGTCTGGAAAGCAGTAAGCGTAGTCCTTTTGTGTGACGGTGGACGGTGTCCCAGAAGCAAGCTTCGGGGGGAATGTGTCCTAGGATCTCAAAAGTGGAAAGTGTCTTAAAGTCACACATCGGGGGTCATGCCGAGTGTCCAATCGTTGTGAAGACGTGTTATCCGTTAACTGTACGATCACAAAACTCACCCAGGGAGAAGCCGGGAGTTAACTCGGAGCCCTCGCCCAGGCAGAAGAGAACAGAGTCGAGCTTGTCCCTGAAGTCTGAGAGCGCCAGCCAGGTAGCGAAGCAAGCAGCCGAGGTGGGTGTCACACGGTTCTCACACAGCCCTGGTGGCTGCTCTACAAGTTGTAGTTCACTCTGTTTGGACTGTGTGGCAGGTGGAACTGCATCCTGACTTGGGATGTTGGCTATGGCTTTTTAGTTTTGTAGAAAACAGCTTCGTTGAGCCGTTTATTGAGCTTCATTGAGGTGTAACTGACGTTCCTATAACTGGCAGACCATCACCCGCACATAGTATTTGGGATATGCTGTTGAATATGCTTTTGACATAGGTATGTACCCCTGAAGCCATCACCACAAGAAAAACTTCCCTTTCTAAGTCCCTCCCTCTCCCCACCCCTCCCCATCCCCAGGCCACAACTGATCTGCTTTCCACGGCTATATAGATTGGTTTGCATTTTTGTTTTGTTGTGTGGTTATTAATCCTCACCCGAGGATATTTTTCCATTGAATTTTTAGAGAGAATGGAAGGGACGGGGAGAGATAGAGAGAAACTTCGATGTGAGAGAGACACATCAACTGGTTGCCTCCCACATGCACCCTGATCAGGGCTGGGAATAGAACCTGCAACCGAGGTACTTGCCCTTGACTGGAATCGAACCCGGGACCCTTCAATCTGAGGGCCGGATGCTCTATCCATTGAGCCAAACTGGCTAGTTTGCATTTTTAAGAGATTTATATGAATGGAATCATATCACATAGGCCCTTTTTTTTTTTTGGTCTGTCTCCTTCCACATAATTATGTTTGAGTTATACCCACGTAGCACATTATCAATAGTTCATTCCTTTTTTTTTTATCGCTGAGCAGTATTCCGTTGTAGGAAGATTTATTTATTTGTTTGCTCATTGGGTTGCTCCCAGCATTTAGCTATTACAAATAAACATTATGAATATTTGTGTACGAGTCTTTGCAATACACATCTTTCCTCTTGAGTGAATACCTAAGAATATAATGGCTAGATCATGCGGTACATGCATGTTTAACTTACTCTTTTCTGAAATAGTTGTGCTATTTTTCATGCCCAAGAGCACTTGGCCATTTAGCTATTACAAATAAACATTATGAATATTTGTGAACAAGTCTTTGCAATACACATCTTTCCTCTTGAGTTGAATACCCAGGAATATACTGGCTAGATCATGCGGTGCCTGCATGTCTAACTTACTCTTTTCTGAAATAGTTGTGCTATTTTCATGCCCAAGAGCACTTGGATCATCAGTCCCTTCATTCTAACTAATAGGTATGTAGGTGTCTCGTTGTGGTTTTCGTTTGCGTTTCCCTCGTGACCGCCCACCTTTTCACGTATTTTTTGCCGTCCGTATATATCTTCTTTGGTGAGGCATCCAAATCTTTTGCCCGTTTTTTTCTCTTGGTTCGTACGTCCGAGAGTTCTTCAGGAATCCTGTGTGTCGTACTTCTCCAGATAAATGCTCTGCAGTGCTTCCTCTCAGTCTGTGGCTTGTGTGTTCATTCTCTGAATCTCTTTTTGAAGAGCAAAACGTTTTAATTTTGATGAAGTCCAGTTACCAGCTTTCCTCTTGTGAATTGTGCCTGTATTGTTATAGCTATGAAACCACTGCCTGGCCCAAGTACAAACTCCGTGAATTCACTAAAAGTCATTGAACTGTAGGCCTAAAATGTGTGCATTTTATGGGATGTTAATTATATCTCAGGAAAGTGTGAAAAACAAAACAGGCGAAACGCCCTTTTTCCTCCTGTGACTTCTTGCCCTGGCAAACGGGGGGGGGCCTCAGCCAGGGAAAGAAGGCGGGGAACTGGGAGGAGAGAGACGCCTCGAGGAAACCAGACCAGCGGGAAATGATTGCAAAGTTGGGGGAAGCAGCCGGGTTCTTGTCAAGCCGACGGGTGGGTGGCTGGGTGGATGGCGTTCTTGTCTCTCTGCCTGGCTCAGACTTCCCAGCCTCCTCCTCCTGCAGGGGTCTCAGTGAGCCGGCTTCTTCCCTGCACCACTGGGCAAACCTGGAGGCCGCTGGGAGGGAGGAGCCTGGGAACAGCTTTTGTTGTTGTTGTTAGTCCTCACCTGAGGATATTTCTCCATTGATTTGTAGGGAGAGTGGAAGAGAGAGAGAAGCATCGATGTGAGAGAAACACATCGATTGGTTGCCTCCTGCCTGAGCCCTGACCAAGGCCCGGGCCGGGGAGGAGCCTGCAACCAAGGTACATGCCCTTGAGCGGAATCGAACCCGGGACCCTTTGGTCCGCAGGCCAGTGCTTTTTAGATCGCATGTTTATGGTACTGAGTAGGAGGGATATGGGATGTGGGACATGAGTTTCATTTTTTTAAGTTTGGGCTTACAGTGGTAAAAGCTCTGGAATTTCTTTTTCTTTTCTTTTCATTTTTTTTAAATTGTGGTACGAGCAGTTAACATGGATGCACCCACCCTTTCAACAAAATGTGAAGGGCACAAAACTGTGTTGTGCCCACACCCGATGCCTCTTCGATGGACAGGCTCGCCCCCGGGCCTCTCTGAAGAGTGCCAGCCGTCTGGGTCCGGTCGGGAGAGAGGAACCTCACGGTGGGTCCAGCAGGGGCAGCTTAACAGGAAGAATTACTAAGATACCAGGAAGCCTGACATGGTCTCCCAGGGCTGAGGGCCAGGAGGGCACTCAGGGGAGGACAGACTCGCAGGGGCTCAGACCTCCCTGGAGCGAGACGGCCAACCCACGGGAGAGCGGGGGAGCTGGCTGGGCAGGCACCACCCTCTGGAATGCAGGCGGCGAGCCGGCTCTCAGCAACCAGTGTGTGGGCATCAGAGGAGGGGGCACCCCCAGGGCGACAGGAGGGCATGCGGGGCACCTGCAGAGGGAACCCGGAGGCCAGCAGGGGCAGGAGGCACTGATTTCTCTGTCCAGAGGGTCCCAGAAAGGCCATCACCAGGCCAAGGCTGCAGGGGGTGGGGACGGAGGGATCTGGGCTCAGACTGAGCTCCACCAGGTGTCCTCACACCCCATCCGACCGTGGTCCCCTCCCCCAGCCAGACGTCCCAGGAGCACCCCTTCCTCTTGCGATGTCCCTCCACCGAGACAGCAGCTTCAAGCAGAGACACTTAAAGGAGCCCGTCACTCACCCCGCAGCTTGTGCGTGTACGGAGGGCGCCATACCTAAATCGTAGCCTCACCTAGATTGTAGCCTCACCGCCTTTAATAAGGAGAGATGGCGGGAGGGGTGGGCCCCCCGGAGCACGTTCCCCGGCCTGGGTCCTGCACAGCGAGGAGACGCCATGTCTGCAGGCTGAGCGGTGCTGATGCCCGGACAGGGTCTCTGGAGTCCCGTGGGCACGCGCTAGTCTTTACTGTGACATCTTTTTCCATCGCAGGGCAACCCGAGACCGAGACCTGGGGACCTGATCGAGATTTTCCGGATCGGCTATGAGCACTGGGCCATCTGTGTGGAGGACGACCGCGTGGTCCACCTGGCGCCCCCGAGTAAGAGTGGATACGCGGCCAAGCTCGTGGCGTCGAGGCGCCGAGGGAAGCGGGCCCCGCCCATCCCCGCTTCCTCGGCGCGGCCCACTGAACAGTAAAACACCCACCGCACGACTAGACCGAGCCCCGGCCGGTGTGGCTCAGTGGAGAGAGTGTTGGCTTGCAGACTGAAGGGTTTCGGGTTCGATTCCGGTCAAGGGCACGTACCTTGTTGCAGGCTTGATCCCCAGCCCTGGTCAGGGCGCATGCAGGAGGCAGCCAATCAATGTGTGTCTCTCACATCGATGTTTCTCTCTGTCTCTCCCCCTCCCTTCCACTCGCTCTAAAAATCAATGGAAAAATATCCTCGGGTGAGGGTTAACAAAGAGAGAGAGAGAGAGAGAGAGAGAGAGAGAGAGACTAGACCTAACGGTACTGTGGGACAGAGCTTGGTCTCTGTCTACCAGACACGCGGTGTGTCCAGCCCTAAAGCAGAAGCGAGTGAGAGCGTCCCAGGTTCCCTTTCGTTTCCATGGTGTTTAGGAACGTGAGCCTCCGACCCGCCCGTGTTGACAGCAGTTCCACATTCTTCCCCTGTTCCTGAGGCCCCCAAGACGGGTGCGGGTGCTTACGTGCCCCGATTGCCACTTGCTTCCCGTTGTCCCCAGTGCTGCTCCTGGCTTCCCCGGGCGCTGGGAGGAACGGAGGGAGGGCCGCGGCCAGTCCTGGTCCTTCGATGCCTTTAGGATGTGTGCCCTGTGCCCACACCGCCCATTCGAGGCTAAATGACAGTGGGTCCCTGGCGCCCAAGGCCCGGGGCCTTATTCACGGCTCTCACCCCGGCCTGTGTCCTGTCGCCTCACCGCCCAGCCCGTCCCCTTGCTGAGACCTTCCCGCAGAGCAGCCCCTCTCCCGGCGCCCCCTGCAGCCCCACCCGCCCACACCCCCACTTCGGTCTGGGAGCCCACACGGAGGGCAGAGCGAAGAAGGTGACAGGGCTTCACGCTGCATCCCCACCCCCCCATCTCTGCTTCCCAGGAGCCTCCCTCTGTACAGCCAAAAGGACTGTCACAGCCCCGTCCCCGCCCTCCCGTCAGATCTGTCTAAATATGACTTCCGCCTCCCTGTCCCCGGAGGCTGAATTGCCTCCTGCCAGCTTTGGTGAAATAGGCAGCTCTTCTTCCAATACATAAGGAAGAGCCAGGGACGCTACTTGCCCTCCGATGGCTTCCCAAGGGGGCGGGGACACACGTTTGCAGAAAAACAGCCCTGGTGTTAAACGGCCACCCACGGGGGCAGCTTCCTGACCCTCCCAGAGCCTCCGTGCCCCCTGAGGGCTGAACATGGTAACTTATCAGCTTCCAAACGTCCCTTTTTTCAAAGCGGTGGAACCCTTGGTGAAACCCCATATGTGAGTGGAGAAGGCGGAGTGGCTCTGGGGGAAGCGGGGGTCCCATCCAGAGCCCCATCTGTGCGGCCTCACCTGCGCCCTGGCAGTGGCTACGGAAAGACGCGTGTCATGGACCCACACGTTAGCCCCTTACCCAGGAGCCGACGCCTACACGGCAGGGCGCTCGGCACGCGTGTGACGGCTCCTGAAGCCTGGTCGGTGCAGTCGGGGCCACACCAGCAGCCACTGTGAGAGTTTTATGAGAGGCCGTGGATGGAAAGTGGGGGCGCAGGGCAAGGCCCAGGCTTCCTGGGGAAGCTGGCCCTTTAGCTCATCTACTCCAGCTCCCCCTCCTCTGCACGCCTCCGACAGATGGGCAAACCGAGGCCCGGAGGACAGCAGCTTGCCGGGCATGGGAGAGCGCGCCGGGCTCTGCCCCGCTGTCCCTGGCGGCTCTCCAGCCTCTGTTTGCCTCTGGCCTCAGGTGAGGAATTCTTGGCCGGCAGCATCACCTCCATCTTCAGCAACCGGGCCGTGGTCAAGTGCAGCCGGCTGGAGGACGTGCTGCACGGCTGCTCCTGGAAGGTCAACAACAAGCTGGACGGGACGTACCTGCCCCTGCCCGTGGACAAGATCCTCCAGCGCACGAGGAACATGATCAACAAGATAGTGCAGTACAGCCTGATGGACGGGAACTGCGAGCACTTCGTCAACGACCTCAGATACGGCGTGCCCAGGAGCCAGCAGGTAGGGGTGCCCAGGAGCCAGCAGGTAGGGGCGCCCAGGAGCCAGCAGGTAGGGGCGCCCAGGAGCCAGCAGGTAGGGGCGCCCAGGAGCCAGCAGGTAGGGGCGCCCAGGAGCCAGCAGGTAGGGGCGCCCAGGAGCCAGCAGGTAGGGGCGCCCAGGAGCCAGCAGGTAGGGGCGCCCAGGAGCCAGCAGGTAGGGGCGCCCAGGAGCCAGCAGGTAGGGGCGCCCAGGAGCCAGCAGGTAGGGGCGCCCAGGAGCCAGCAGGTAGGGGCGCCCAGGAGCCAGCAGGTAGGGGCGCCCAGGAGCCAGCAGGTAGGGGCGCCCAGGAGCCAGCAGGTAGGGGCGCCCAGGAGCCAGCAGGTAGGGGCGCCCAGGAGCCAGCAGGTAGGGGCGCCCAGGAGCCAGCAGGTAGGGGCGCCCAGGAGCCAGCAGGTAGGGGCGCCCAGGAGCCAGCAGGTAGGGGCGCCCAGGAGCCAGCAGGTAGGGGCGCCCAGGAGCCAGCAGGTAGGGGCGCCCAGGAGCCAGCAGGTAGGGGCGCCCAGGAGCCAGCAGGTAGGGGCGCCCAGGAGCCAGCAGGTAGGGGCGCCCAGGAGCCAGCAGGTAGGGGCGCCCAGGAGCCAGCAGGTAGGGGCGCCCAGGAGCCAGCAGGTAGGGGCGCCCAGGAGCCAGCAGGTAGGGGCGCCCAGGAGCCAGCAGGTAGGGGCGCCCAGGAGCCAGCAGGTAGGGGCGCCCAGGAGCCAGCAGGTAGGGGCGCCCAGGAGCCAGCAGGTAGGGGCGCCCAGGAGCCAGCAGGTAGGGGCGCCCAGGAGCCAGCAGGTAGGGGCGCCCAGGAGCCAGCAGGTAGGGGCGCCCAGGAGCCAGCAGGTAGGGGCGCCCAGGAGCCAGCAGGTAGGGGCGCCCAGGAGCCAGCAGGTAGGGGCGCCCAGGAGCCAGCAGGTAGGGGCGCCCAGGAGCCAGCAGGTAGGGGCGCCCAGGAGCCAGCAGGTAGGGGCGCCCAGGAGCCAGCAGGTAGGGGCGCCCAGGAGCCAGCAGGTAGGGGCGCCCAGGAGCCAGCAGGTAGGGGCGCCCAGGAGCCAGCAGGTAGGGGCGCCCAGGAGCCAGCAGGTAGGGGCGCCCAGGAGCCAGCAGGTAGGGGCGCCCAGGAGCCAGCAGGTAGGGGCGCCCAGGAGCCAGCAGGTAGGGGCGCCCAGGAGCCAGCAGGTAGGGGCGCCCAGGAGCCAGCAGGTAGGGGCGCCCAGGAGCCAGCAGGTAGGGGCGCCCAGGAGCCAGCAGGTAGGGGCGCCCAGGAGCCAGCAGGTAGGGGCGCCCAGGAGCCAGCAGGTAGGGGCGCCCAGGAGCCAGCAGGTAGGGGCGCCCAGGAGCCAGCAGGTAGGGGCGCCCAGGAGCCAGCAGGTAGGGGCGCCCAGGAGCCAGCAGGTAGGGGCGCCCAGGAGCCAGCAGGTAGGGGCGCCCAGGAGCCAGCAGGTAGGGGCGCCCAGGAGCCAGCAGGTAGGGGCGCCCAGGAGCCAGCAGGTAGGGGCGCCCAGGAGCCAGCAGGTAGGGGCGCCCAGGAGCCAGCAGGTAGGGGCGCCCAGGAGCCAGCAGGTAGGGGCGCCCAGGAGCCAGCAGGTAGGGGCGCCCAGGAGCCAGCAGGTAGGGGCGCCCAGGAGCCAGCAGGTAGGGGCGCCCAGGAGCCAGCAGGTAGGGGCGCCCAGGAGCCAGCAGGTAGGGGCGCCCAGGAGCCAGCAGGTAGGGGCGCCCAGGAGCCAGCAGGTAGGGGCGCCCAGGAGCCAGCAGGTAGGGGCGCCCAGGAGCCAGCAGGTAGGGGCGCCCAGGAGCCAGCAGGTAGGGGCGCCCAGGAGCCAGCAGGTAGGGGCGCCCAGGAGCCAGCAGGTAGGGGCGCCCAGGAGCCAGCAGGTAGGGGCGCCCAGGAGCCAGCAGGTAGGGGCGCCCAGGAGCCAGCAGGTAGGGGCGCCCAGGAGCCAGCAGGTAGGGGCGCCCAGGAGCCAGCAGGTAGGGGCGCCCAGGAGCCAGCAGGTAGGGGCGCCCAGGAGCCAGCAGGTAGGGGCGCCCAGGAGCCAGCAGGTAGGGGCGCCCAGGAGCCAGCAGGTAGGGGCGCCCAGGAGCCAGCAGGTAGGGGCGCCCAGGAGCCAGCAGGTAGGGGCGCCCAGGAGCCAGCAGGTAGGGGCGCCCAGGAGCCAGCAGGTAGGGGCGCCCAGGAGCCAGCAGGTAGGGGCGCCCAGGAGCCAGCAGGTAGGGGCGCCCAGGAGCCAGCAGGTAGGGGCGCCCAGGAGCCAGCAGGTAGGGGGGCCCAGGAGCCAGCAGGTGCGTGCGCCCAGGAGCCAGCAGGGAGGGGTGCCCAGGAGCCAGCAGGTGCGTTCCACTGGCTGGGATGGACGACCGCTTCTGCTGAGCTGTCTTGGGCTCCTCCTCTCATGGGTGGTCAGAACAGCGATCCGTGGTGTCATGTTATCTGTCGCACTGGTGGGGGCCTGCCGTTTCCAAGGACTTTACGGTCCTTCTCATCTCTATGAGCCCATCGAGGAGTAGAAAAGGCGCTGGGCAACACGGTAGGACCACTGGTGGAGTCCAGCTGGGCCCTCACTGGCCTGGCCTCCTTGGTGAAGCCATTTTATCTCCGAGACTGTCCCTTCCCTTACAAAACGGGGATTAACCAAGGCAGACACTCCGCTGCTAAAGTTGCAAATTGAATTACGAGTATTTTTTACTCATTTGCCTGTATTTAAAAATGTAGAAATTTTATATTAAACGATATGGATTCCCAGCCGCTCTGAACAACCCATCGATCGGGCCATTGGGCCCGTGTTCGCGCTGGCTGATGGTCTGTGGGGCCCAGTCGTGGGGCCCCCTTTCGATGGGTGGTGGTGGGTAGGCATGTCACCCACCAGTGTCACCACACACCTGCCCGGCCCCACTGCGTTTGGGTTTGTGCCGCCCCCCGCCCCCCGTAATATAGGGGGCGACACATTCAATGGTGGCACAAGAGCTTGGAAAGCTACGTCCCCGAGCCAGTGTGAGCTGCTCTTGTTGACATTTGGTCTCTCTTGAGACCCCATGAGAAGAGCAGAGGAAGCATGTGTAGTAGGTTTTCAAAAATCAAGGATTAAATGAGGCACGTCGTTTTTCTAGGTTCTCTTCCACGTTCCCTATGTCTTCCTAACGCCCTGGGCAGATCCCAGCCTTGGTCTCTGCACTGTGCGACCCCATCCCCAGGCGACTCGGGGGGACGGGCCTCCCACGCTCGCAACCCCTGCTTCTCACTTTCCGCATCTTCCTCCTCTGCATCCCCCCCGGGGAGGCCTGTGGCAGCGAGGGCCGTGGTGGGCGCTGGGACGAGGGGTCCCCCACCCCTTGAGCGTTTGTACACAAGGAGGAGATCCCGGGGGTCAAGGGATTCTAGGAGGCCCTCCTTCCTCCGAATCCTGGGCCCGGACCTGAGCTCCTGCACTAATTCACTGTGTGACGAGGTCCAAGGGAGGCCCCCGCCTGGCTCCCTGTGTGCTCATCTGCAGAATGAGGGCCCAGGGGCTGTGCTGCTCTGAGGCCCTTTGCCTCTGAGCCCCCCACCCCCACCCCCCACACTGGAGGCAAACCCCAGGCTGAATGGCTCTGAGGCAGGAAGGGACCGGGAGCCCGGTGCCCCCACTGTGTGCCCGGGCCGGCCGGCCGTCCTGGCTTCTCTGGGCCTGTGCAGCTCTAGGGCCTTTGAAACTGGAGCTCAGGTTGCTTCCTGCTCTCGGGAAAGGCTCCGGGCAGGCCGGTTCCTGAGCGGGATGGCGAGGTGGCGGTGGGGCTGGGCACAAGCCCAGGACCCTGCCCGAGTGTCCTGTGAACGGGTCTGCCCTGCAGGTGGAGCAGGCCCTGATGCAAGGGGCGAAGGCGGCGGGAGCCATGCTCTCGGCCGTGGTGGAGAGCATACGGCCCAAGGCAGTCACCGCCGGCAGCGACTCCGGACACCACGCAGAGGAAGAGCCGGGACGGCAGCAAAGAGAACGTCCTCCCTTCGCTCCCTTGGTCTCCCTGCTCAGCGGCCCCGTGTAAGAAACTCGTGAGCTTCCGGAAGAATCTGGCATGTACCCGGTTACCCCTTTAGACGTGTGTCCGATATGTGTGATGAGACCCAGGGACTCGCAGGGTGGGAAGAATCCAATATTTATTATGCAGCTGTGAGACGCAGTCGCCGCCACCCCACCCTCTGTAGAAGGGGGTCTCGTTCGTGCCTTAGGCTGAACCTAGTCTGTGATGCTTGAATACCATGGGGTACATCCCGGAAACCTGCTGGAATGTTCTCAGTAATAAGAACTCCTTACAAACGTCCTTTTTGTGAAACTAACGCGTCTCTAGCTCGTCTGGGTCGCTCCAGCCCTGCCCTTGGGGACCCGCGGTGCCGTTCAAGGGAGGAGGGATCCGAAAACCTTGGCCTCGCTGCTCAGGGCCAGCTGTGCCTTAACCTAGGAACACCTTTCCCAGGAAAGATTTTCCTTGTAAAATCACACGTCAGCTTTATTCTTTACTGGAGGCCCAGTGCACGAATTCGTGCACGGGTGAGGTCCGGCCGGCCCGCCCTGATGGGGTCGATCGGGCAGGGCTGGCCAGGGGAGGGGACGTGGGAGGTTGGCCAGCCGGCCCGCCCCCAATCAGGGTTGGGGGGCTGATCAAAGGTGGGGTGGCCAGGGGGAGGGGCCACAGGCGGTTGGCCTGCCAGCACCACCCCCTGGTCAAACTCCTGGTTGAACTCCCAGTCGAGGGGACAATTTGCATATTAGCCTTTTATTATATAGGATTACTTAAAAGCCCTAATTTAAAGTATAACCAATAAGACCCTTTATCTTGCTTTTCTATCTTATCAGTACCAGAAAATTTGAAATTTCTATTTTCATTGACTTCAGATGAATATTTAGAATAGCTTAACCAATGCACCTTCTACTGTGTGAATGAGGGAAAGGAAGGGGTGACGCGATGGAAGATTTAAATTATGACGGGGGATTGGCAGTCATCGTTGGGAGCTGAAACCACACAAGGACGCTAGGGAACGTCTAGGAAATGAGAAGGCGGGAGAGGGCAGGAGGGAGCCCATAAAACCTGTTAGGACCTCCCATGAGCCTTTCTCCCATTTGGAGAAAGTAGACCTGCAGTGAAGCTCTTTTTCTTTTTTTTAATCCTCACCTGAGGATATTTTCCCATTGATTTTTAGAGAGAATGCAAGAGAGAGGGAAAGACAGAGAGAAATATTGATGTGAGAGAAGCACATTGATTGGTTGCCTCCTGCACACGCCCCATCCAGGGCCCGGGCCAGGGAGGAGCCTGTAACCGAGGCATGTGCCCTTGACCGGAATCGAACCCAGGACCCTTTGGTCCGCAGGTCGATGCTCTATCCACTGAGCCAAACCCGCTAGGGCCCTGCAATGAAACTCTTCGATTGACCCCCTCCGTTCTTTTCGTAGCACGTTGATTATCTTCCCCAGTGGAGGACCTCTCTGCTCAGTCCCGGTGCTGGTGGCTAAGCACCCTGTGTCTGTGAATCCTGACCAGGACAAAGCCATTGCCTCCAATTCCCACCATCAGCTCGCCCCCCACTCGCCGAGAATCCATTGAGTTCCCCATCGTCCTCAGCCTCTCTACTCTTTACACAGGCTGGAGTGAGACTGCCTCTGAAGCAGAACCAAGATCCAAAAGTTCTATTTTATTTTAAATACTTTTATTGATTTCAGAGAGGAAGGGAGAGATAGAAACATCAATGATGAGAGGGAATCATTGATCGGCTGCCTCCTGCATGCCTCACACTGGGGATCGAGCCCGCAACCTGGGCATGTGCCCTGACTGGGAGTCAAACCCTGAACTCCCGGTTCATAGGTCAACATTCAACTACTGAGCCATGCTGGCTGGGCTAGAATTTTATTTTATAAAGTTTACTAGAGGCCCAGTGCACGGATTCGTGCACCGGTGGGGCCCCTTGGCCTGGCCTGCAGGGATTGGGCCAGAACTGGCTCTCCGACATCTCCCAAGGAGTCCCAGATTGCAAGACGGTGCAGGCCAGGCCGAGTGACCCCACTGGTGCACAATCAGGGCTGGGGAGGGACCGTGGGAGGGCTCCAGGGCGTGTCCGGCCCATCTCGCCCAGTCCTGATCGGCCATACCCCAGCAGCAAGCTAACCTACCAGTTGGAGCATATCTGCCCCCTGGTGATCAGTGTGCATCATAGCGACTGGTCAAACGGTCAAACAAACAGTCGGACGCTTCGCATATTAGGCTTTTACCATATAGGATTCTTTTTCGCTTGGAATTCCTCAGTCTTGCATTAGCGAACCTTTAGATCTGAAGCTGACTTTGAACTCACATAAATTATTGGTCAAACAAACCGATGTTGTTCATTTAACCAACAACTGCCCCGTGCCAGGGAGTGTAATAACTTCTAAACAGAGGCCTCCTCCAGGTCTTGCTTACGTTTAGGACAGAAAGATACCTCTCTGGCTTCTTTCTGGTTCGGACAGACCCTGGGGAGCATCTCAGGGCTGATGTTCACTCATTCACCCGACAAGCATGCCTGAGTGTCTACCAGGTGCCACGCCCTGGCCCCCACCTCTGCCTGAGCCCACAAGCCGGGTCAGGGAGGGCGGTGAGGAGTTCTGCGTCACCGGGAGGGCACGAGGCACCGTGGGGCAGGGGTGGACAGTGTCTCCAGAAGGCCGCATGCCCTGCAGTGCACGCCGCACACTTTGCAGGCGAGGAGCAGCGCGTCGCTAAGGCTGCAGCAGCTGCTGTGTTCCAGCGTGAAAGCTGAAGTCTGCTTTAGTGGGGCCCCGGGGCGAGCCTGGTGAGCTTTGCCGCCAGCAGTGGGGGGGGGGGGGGGGGGGGGGGAGATACTCAGGGAAAGTAATCCCAACGCGAGTGTTTCTGAGATGCCAGATACTGGTGCCTTGTGTGTGTGCTTATTTTCCCATGTTTATTCCTTTTCCCTTTGGGGGGTAGGTGAGCGGGGCAGCGGTGGTGTCGGCATGTCACGGGGAAGGCCAGGGAATGGAAGCTGCTGGATTCCTGGGCTGTGGGAAGTGGAGGAGGCAGGACGGAGCAGAGGGAGGCGCGGGGCCAGGATGCGGTCCCAGCAGGGGCCTGGCCACCCCCCGGGGGCTCTGGAGGTGGGTGCCCTACAGGGGTGCCCTGCATCGAGGTGAGAGGGCCGGTCCCCCTCAGCTCTCCCTGTGTGGTCAGTGGCTGCAGGCCGCCACGGACAACGGGGGACCCTCCCAGAGAGGGGCGCAGTGGGGAGCTGGGCGTCACCCACACTCCTCCACCCTGAGGCCGTGCGAGGGGGGCGGGGGGCACGCCACACGTGTGGGCAGAAGCTAAGTTTCTGTGTTAGTGTCTGGGGCCCAAAGGCAAAATTCAGCCTCTGAGAA